GGGAATTGACCTTACTATGAGAGATTATCTTGGATTATCCAGGTGAGCCTATTGTAATCACAAGGGTCCTTAAAAGAGCCAGCCCAGGAGAGTCTGACCAGAGAAGAAAGGCACAGAGGGTGTGAGGGGCTGAATTTGGAGATGGAGGAAGGGGCTTAAGGTCACCAGTGTGTGTGACCTCTAGGAGCTGAAGAGAGCAAGGAAGGCACGCTCCACCAGAGACTCCCCAGGAATGGATTCTCCCAGAACTGTAAGGTAAATTTAAGATGTTAAACTTGTGGCATTTTGTTATAGTACCAAAAGAAAACTAATACGAGATTGTTTTAGAAATCATGAACACCCTGCACCTCTGTCTTCTGCTAATCCCTTTGCTCTAAAATAATTTTTACCACTTCCACGTGGGAGCCTAGAAATATTTGGTGGTAGCAAGAGGGCGAAACACAAGGTGGGGCTCAGCATGTAACGTGAGAACTGGGAGAAAGGGTGGAAGAAAAGGAAAACTCCTCCGTGTTTATACAACAATCAGGCAGGTGAGTCAAGTTCAAATACAGGCTAACTCCTCTGAAAGGCAATTTTTCAGGCTATCTTAATATATTCTTTGTTCATTTTCACATAGGTTTTTAATGTGTTTTAAGGAACTTGTATGTCGCAGGTCGTAACTCTTATAATGTGCAGAGTTTTAAATTTCTCTAAAGAAAATAGAGATGCTTAGCAATGATAAGACAAGTCAAATTGTGTGGTCCAATGGCAATTTTTGAAAAACCTAAATATCGCTGGACAGGTAAGCCTGTCAACTGTGAACCACTAGAGAAGACCCCATCAGTTATTGCTAAAATACACTCCCCAATGTAATTAGATCTTTTATTTAAAAATAAATACACGTTGTCTTAGGAACTGCCACCAGAGGGCGCTACAACCTTTGCAGAAGATCAACGAGCCGCCATTTAAAAACACTTCCCAGGCAGAGGATTTTTTTTTTCTCAAGGAAGCAACAATGCAGGGCAGAAAATGAACACCCGTGGCATATTTCTATTTGTTTTTTCCATGTCATTTTACTAGAGATATACTTTTAATTATTTTTATTTTCATCTCAGACGTCAACCTCAAAAACAGAGCAGAAGAAATGAGCCATGCTTTTTTTTTTTTTTTATTTAGACAAAGGGGTAGTTGACAAAGAATGAGAGCACAGCAAAATTTAAGGTCGTCGTTTCTACATTGACATCTTGCCCCCAACACCATGCAGCGCTAAAAAGTCCCATCCCCATCATGCAAGAACATTAAAGTATGTGGTGATTAACAGTCCTGGTTTTACGAGGGGCTGTTTAATGTCCCCGTGGGGCATGCTTCCCCTGTGTACAGACGTAGCAACACAGAGCAGTCAAGGCTTCTCACAGCAAGACACATGTGAAGACATAGTTTTATGGAGAATCCATTTTTAATGTTTTCCGTGTGGCGCTGTGGTCATACGGAAAACAGTAAAGAGGTACAAAAAATGGGAAGGAAATCACTTCCTGTCTCCAAACACCCACAAACACGTGGCCACCCAATATCTAGGTCAAGGAGAAAGCAGCTTTCCCTGAGGGGTGAAATTATCCTCCCTCCCCAGTCCATTTCAAGTGGGCTGCAAAAGCTCTAGTTTAAGGGGCTCTTTTTTTTAAAATTATGTACTTCAAAACCCTATCACACCCCCCTAGTTTTGAGACTTGATTCGTCTCGGAAGATAAATATGCTAAAAATCGGAAGAGAAATAAATTGCAAGACCTCAATCAAACATCATATTCCATTAGTGTGAGAGAGAAAAATGCATCCTAAAACTTCGTTTGGAGATGACAGCTTCTCCATATAAAATAGTTAGGCAGCTTGTGTACCTCCATGACTTATCTGTGTGGCTATATCAAAATACTGGTACATTATCTTTCTTACAAAGAGCTGTGTGTCCATGAATTTAAATATGGCTTAAAATTATACAACAACTCTCCTCAAAATACTTAAAAAATACATTTCTTTTAATCTGTTTCATCTCTGTGACATTGTTTGTGACTTAAAGGCTACCTGATGAAGTTATTATAATTGCAGGAGAAGAAATTGGGAGAAAAAAGTCAAGGACTAAGACCAATCACTAAGTTGGGTCTCTGACATCCGACAAAATAAACACTCTCCGTGTCTTTAAATATACCTCTTTCATCTAAGGATCTCACAGCACCTAACAAATAGTATAATTTATAGAGGGAAATAAAGGAAGCATTAGGTTAAGCTCCAACTTGCAGATAGTCCACAAACAGGTGTCTGCAGGGCTTTGAGTGAGAGACTCATACTCAAAGGGCAGAGGCCCCTCTGGGTCCCAAGGGATAACTTAGCAAAAAACCCACGATGGCCAGCTGTGAGCGGAACCCTGTGTGGTGGAGCACATCCTCCAAGTCACTGCTCAGCTCCCTAAGGGCTCTGCCCTGACAGCAAATTCACAAGGGGGCAGGGGAGGCTGGGGCTGAGTCCTGAGGCTCAGGCTTCAGTTTGGGCTTCCCCATGTAGGGCTCTGGGCCAGGCACTTCACTGTAATGAAAATCCACAATCTCCCCACAAAGGCCAAGGGGCAGCAGGCGGGGCAGGGGTGGGGCCCTGAAACACACCAATTGGCAAACTACAAAGTGCTGTGTAAATATAAGGCATGGGCTCCACATTGAAATCTGACTCTAAACACAATCTCAGGCTTTCTGGAGCCTTTGAAATCCTATACGTTAGGATTCTTTCTAGGCCTTTGACCTATTCTGAGATTTGAGCTGTTGTGCAAAAACTAAGGATTCTTAAAAGCAGCGGATGCCGTTCAAATGTAGAACTGACCAGCAGACTCAATGTGCATTTGCAACAAATTGACCAGGGAGGGTACCATATCGGGCTCCAGTTTGGGTCTACAGGCTAACAATGGAGGGAAGAGGTCCCCTCCACAAAGAGGCGTCTTCTCAGACCTGATGCTTAACCGGTGCCACAGCTTTGGATCTACATATGCAAGAGGTTCTCCCTGTCCTTCCTGAGTAGCCATGGTTCTGTGTCATTCCACAGACCCTGTGGCTATCCATGTCAGGAGTCTCCCCTGACACTCCTTGAAACTACCCCAAGTCCATTTCAGAGATGACTGGCAGGCAATAAATGGAAGTAACCCCATTTTCCCAATATCCTTTAGACCAGGAAGTAACTTGAGGTCAAGAGAGGCCAGCCCAGGGCCTCTCATACTTTATGTCACTCTTCCACTCACTCCTCTGTGTCCCTGTACCCTCCTCTTACAGCCGCAGCTGACAGATGCTACCCACTGCTGCAACCTAGAACAACCTGGTCCAGAGCAAGGCATTTACAGAAAGGAACACAAAAATGAGCAAGCAATTGGGTCCAGAAGGGCAGGGTGCAAAATTGTGCAGGTCAGTCTAGCTTTCATTTGGGGAGATTGTAAAGTAAGCTTTAATAATCAAAGCAGAAACCTCTAGATTGAAGTATCTTCGAAAAATAACTTTAAGACTTGGTTATCTCACGATTCTTTTCTGCCTTTACATTTGAATGGTACTAAAGAAGTTTACACTGAAAGGTCAATTAAAGTAGGTGAAAAGCCAAAGGAAAGCATTCAGGTGTATTCACAAGTCCTGATCAAAAGCTTTTGGAGCTCAATTTAGAAAAAAACTCTTTGGAAGTGTTCAGGCTGATGCTGCAAACCAAAGAAAAACAAGTGGAGAGGCACTTGGTGTCATGCTGTTATCTCTACTATACGATTTCTCAATCCCTTCCACTCTTTACATTGTGAATCTTAACCAACCTTCTCCTGGTGGCTAATCATAGAAAGAAGCAATGATAATTTCCAGAGTCAAGAGGTGAGAGCACTGTCTTCTCAAATCAAAGCATCAGGGTCCAATCTGCAAGCCAGAATGTTACTATTCTCAGGTGCCGACTCTCAACTCACCACAAGTCAGATACACCTGCCATTAGCGTCCTAAGTGTAAGAGGACCTACATGTTTGCTGGGCCAAATGGACTGACATTGCCTTTTATCTCAGAGAAGCTTCTGGTACTACAACTTGCTTCCTGGTTTTTTTTTCTTCTTTCATAATGCTAAGGTTGTATTTTGTTTACAGAGTAAGACATCTTAGTAAAGCTTGGGGAAATGTTCAACTATTTCCACTTAGTTTGCAGATACAGTTCAGGGGTTATTTCCATTTGACTATCATGCCACACTCTGCAGGCATAAAACAAAATGTGTCATATCAACAAATTTGTTGGGGGGCAGGTAGGGCAAAAGAAAAGGTTCCTGGTGGGCTGTGGTTATTCTCCTGGTGAGACATACACATCCATGATGAGTAAGTGAAGACTTTCATATCTTTTCTCTCCTATCTTTCTTTAACCACACCACTGAATTTCTACAGTCTTCAAGTAAAGACTAAGATGACATTAGCTTTATTTCATTTGGGGTAACGCTTTTAGGCATAAATGGCATATAGCTTAAAGTTTGTTTACTAGAAGGTATAACCTAAAATAAAAATCCTCTCCTGGTTAAGGGGGTGACTTACCATAGAACAGAAATGTAAGAACTCAGAGAGTTGGGGACAGAGGGTAGAAGAAGAAAATGAAAAATTACAAATATGTGCCCCAACATTTTCCCCACAAGATTTCCTGAGCATTCTTTGTACATTATAGTGCAACATACTAGCTCCCATGAATCAGCAGTATTTCCATTTTTCTCAAGCAACAAGTATATACTTCAAGTATACACTGAGCAAAACACATGATAGTATCTCATCTTTTAAAAGACTAGTAATTTGAATGTCTATAAATATATTTAAATAACAAATATATTATAGTTAGCTATTCACATAGCACACAAACCGACACATAAACATACAAAAATAAAACAATTATGTTTTAACGCTTTTGTTTTTGTTTTATGAAGTTTTTGTTTTAGGGTTTTTGTGGGTTTGGGGGGGTTTTTTTGAGTAAAGATATTAAAACAATTCAGATGCCAAAATCATTTTGTCAATAGTGATCCCAGGAAACCTGGATATGAAACCATACTGTAATTAGGCACCACAGCCAAGGACAAAAGCAGCTACCATTCCTTGCTGGGTTCGTTACCATCTCCTACAGTTGCGTAGGGAAGCTAGGAGGGAGTAGAGGTCTCTAACTGTGATGAGATAGTTTTCTCTAGCTGTTGTGAGGAAAAGAGACATTAATCAGATTGCCCATCCTGGGTGAAGTGTGAAAATACCAAGCTGTCCTTTGAGCAAGTGGAATGTAGAACACACTTCCTCCTTCGGCTCTCCCACACACCACTGTCTATGAAGTATTTTCTCCACAAGCAGAAAAGTCGCCATCATTTTCTATCAAAAGCAAGAAATATTTGTTCCACAATACCACATTGGTCCTGCTCCACTTGCTGCTATGGAAAATAGTCCTCCACTCAAAAAACGATTTGGGGCACTCATCTACCCAATCAGGTGGAATATGTACATTCTTCTTTTGGAAAACAGAATGTTTCTATGAATAATTATCCCTGGTAAAACTTGTTTTTCATCCATAGATTATTGTAATTCTCATGAAAGCCAGGAACAGAAGATCTATTTCTCACATCCCACCCAGAGCCTAGCATCACTCTGAGCACTCCCAGTACGAACACACAAAAAATATCCTGAACTCCATCATTCCAGTTTCGACAGCTGTACTTCTATTGGAATGAGGAATCTGGCTGTATTTGGTGACTGTCTTCATCTAAGTTGTATCTTTAGAGCGGGGAGTTGATATTTGAGGGCCAGGGTTTCAGTTTTCCTTTTAAGGAAAAAATGTGAGCTCTTGCAGCATCTTGAAGACTGGCTTGTGGTAAAATGTAATAGGAGAAAATCCTAGCTTCTTCTGACAGAATATTCAACAACAGGCTGAGGAAGGTGGTTTCTCGAGTTCCTGGGGGGTGTCTTCAGGGGCAGGCGTGGCCGGCTGCTGCTGATAGATGTCCTGAATCAGCAGAGTGTTCATGACCTTCCACTCTCTGTACTTCCTGGCCGTCAGCTTCGGATCGTCCAGCAACTGGTTAATCATGGCCAGATCGTGTTCTTTACACTGTGCAAGTACAGAAAGATTGGGGGGGGGGGAGGGAGACATTGTGAGTGTCTTAATTTCAATGAACCATCTTCATCCACCATTATAAAAATATACAAACACATTAATCACAAAATCATTGAAGCATTTTTGCACATTATTATTCTAATCCCCCCACCAAGCCTAAGAGATACGGTAGGACATCTATTTACATACGCTTGCCACAAAAATGTTTAGAGTCCTACTCGAGAGTTAGTGGAAGACCTAGACATATAGCCAGGGTCTTTCTATGTTGCTCATCTCTGATCAGTCTGTTATTCCACACCACAGTGATGGTTCTATCTTGGTGTGAGCATTATTCTTCCTGAAACTTATAATTGTATATATAAGCATTCCCTTGACCACCCAAACCTCACTGAGTAAAGCTGGAACATCATGCTTTACTTAAGAAAGCATAAAGTGTCTACTTTTATGCACTAAATTATGCTAATCTGTTTTTTATAAATCACATTGATAGTGAATAAATATACTAAATATACAGGATATCTTTTTATTGAAAGGAGACTTATAAACTTCCACCAAAACAGTATAGTCTTGGCTAGGCTCAGTGGGTAGGGCACCAGCCTGAGCAACATACAAAAATAAATAAATAAAGCGGGGTGTGGAGGCTCAAGGCAGGATGATGGCTTTAATCAAGGAGTTTGAAGGTTCAGTGAGCTGTGGCACCACTGTGCTTTAGCCTGGGCAATAGAGTGAGACGCGGTCTCAAGAGGGGGAAAAAGGGACTCATTCCTTTACATTTCTCAGATTTTACAAAAATTTCATCCTTCAAAGAGGGCTTTCATCCCTTTTCTAACAAACCAATCTGTAACTATTCTCTATTACTATACTTTCTATTCTCCATCATCCATCTCTCTACCTTATCTATATTCAGCATCTATAAGTCTATCATGGCTTATCATACTAAGACATTAATAATTATGTTTGTTTATTTCCCTACTGAAACACAAGCTTCATAATGGCGATCTTTTTGTCTGGTATCCCCACTGCGACAGCCACCACATACCTGAGAGAATGACTGATGCATGGTAGACTTTCGCTAAATGCTTTTTGAGGAAATGAATATATGAAATAAGGAATGGATGAATGAATTGATTACCTATTTACTTTGTAATCTCTTTTGCATTATGAGCCCAACTTAGGGTCTGAGGAAAGCCCCTCCATAACTAAACAAAAACTATACAGACATAGATAGGAAGATAGAGAGATGGATAATAGATACGGAGAGATGGGAGAACTTCCTTCCAGGAAAATGACCAAAGAGGCATGACACAGAGCTGGACCGGGCCCGAAGCAGAGAAGAAGGTGAAGTGGGTGATGAGAGGAGTTGTTTACAGACAGCCAGGCAGAGGCACATTTCTTTCTCTGAGTTCCCAAACTCTAAGCTTAAAAAAAAAAAATCTTTTCCATAAAACAAGCTTTCATCCTCTGATATCACAGTGCTATTAATATGAAGTTATTTAAGGAGTTTTTTTTTTTTTTTTTTTTTGGTTCTAAAGAAATCTAGACATCTGCTTAAGAGGAAGATCCTGATATTTTATTGAAAAAACTCAGACTTTTGAAGATCAACAAAAATTTGGGAAATGCATTTTAAAAAGGCAAAAGTGAATTAACTACTTTTCAAAAACATGAAAGATTTTAGAAAAGGTCTCTTCTGCTTTGGGCCCTAGGCTAACATCTCTCACCTGGCTTTTGGCTCTAAAAAATTTAAATTTCTTATCATTTGGCTCAAACCCATGTTAGTTCTTTTACGGATAAAAGGAAAAAAACTGTAGACGAGAATATAGAGGAAGAAATCAATGAAACAACAAAGCCGTCCAAGCTCCCTCCTAGGCCAGGCAGCCCGGGGCTCAGAGCCTCACTCCATGGCTCTGCTTCTCCAGGACACTGGAAAGCTTTGAACAATTTCCACGGCATCTGCCTTGCTTTCTGGAAGGCAAGCAAAGTTTGGCAGAGGTTCCAAAATTATAGTGAAAGAGATATACTGTACTTTCATTTTTTACTCCAAATATTCAGATTATGGCTTGCTCAGGCCTCATGCATTAGCAATGTGTCCTACAAGAGTGGTTAGGAGGAGTGAAGAGTTCATTCCTCTTTTGACATAAGCCAAAGTAACTCCAAGAGAGTTTCAGCCAGATCCATTAATCATTTATTTTTAAATTAAAACAGGTTTAGCCAAAAGTTAGTGAATGCTGAGCTATCGGAAACTTCCTAAAGATCTAGAGCAGTGGTTCTCAACCTTCTTAATGCTTCGATGTATTTTCATTATTACAAAGGGGTCACAACCCAGTTTGAGAACCCCTAATTTAGAGTTAGCATATGACATAACAGTTTGCTCGACTTCCTAGAAGAATTTCTCTGGAGAGCATCCATTCCAGTGCAATCCCAGCATAGGCATTTTTCTTTATTTCTGGAATATGGCTACTGCTAAGATAAACATTACTGTTAAAACCGATTCCTTGTTTCTGCATGAAACGCTGTTGTCTTTGCTTGTCCACCCTCAAGATTTGAAGATTTTTCTTTTGAAGAAATATTTTTATTGTAATTTAACATGCACAGGAAAAAGTGCACTAGTAGAAACATGTGTGCTTCATTATCACAAAATGAACACTTCCATGTAACCATCACTGAGGTCAGAAAAGGGCCCACACTCAGAACTCAGAAGCCACCTGAGTCCCGGCCCTGTCTCAATCTCCTGTCTTCCTCAAAGACAATCATTCTCTTGACTGCTTTGAATTTTAAAAACAGTTTTAAAAATCACTATAGCCTCTCACCCTGAATAAACATACGTGTCAAGCTATCTGTCTTCGTTGACTAAGTTGCTATGCTTTGTTTTTGTTTTCATTCTTCAACAAGGCCAATTCCCCTATCAATATGTCCTCCTACCCCCTAAGGTTAATAGGACCACGTGCCATTTGTTTTTTCTTTGTATAATTAAAATACACTTTTTTGTTCCAGCCTCGTTTCTGTAGACCTTTAGGGTGCTTACGTCTTCCCCTGACTAACCAGGATGTCTGACTAAGAGCCACTCAGTCTGTCTTTATAGCCTTGTTCTTTTGATTGCTGACATTTCTTCCTGGAAAGGGACTAGAATTGTTAATGTAAAAGGTCATGTACAAAATAGAATTAAATTATAGGATCCACAGAGGCTTTCCAGAATCTATGAATCTTCTGCTAATTCAGGACTGTTTTGCAAAGTATCCTGGCCTCCTCCTGTTCATGCTACATCTAAATGTGAAAGCAGGACGCTATTGTTACGAAGAACCATTTCAGTTATGTGAGGCCCTGAAAATAGCTTCAGTACGTCCTGTACACGGTCTGTCATTCCCATTGTGAAAACATCTGCTGGTCAACTACCACAAAGTCTACACTTCTTCCCCCACCAGGCTCTAGTGCCATTTCTTAGCTGCAGTGCCTATGGCTGACAATCACTAAGTCTTTGCTGTATCTGAAATTTTAAATATTTCTTTTGGATATAGTGCAGAAGAATGGCACCCTTGAATGAATCAGGGAAAAAAGCAAAGTCTTATTTCTACTACTGTCAGCGTTTGTTGAACTAGGTACTATGTTAGGTACAAGGGTTACAAAAAACAATTTATACGTGACCCTTGCCATCTAAGAGTTTAAAAATCTGAAATTTTATTTTGGAGTGAATGTAAAAATCAAGGCCCGTTGTAAAAAACTGCCTTGGATACTACTGTGTGAATGTCCTAGTGCTTTAAGAATGCCAAGGTCATCTCACCCTATAAAGATTTTATTCACTTTACCCACACAAACATGCTGTGGTTAGCGTGCATCTCTCTGCAGGAACCACCACTGTTTTTCACCCCACATTCATAGAGTTCATTCAATCTGAAACCTTATTACCTTTAAAGTGCTATTCAAAGTTCGGATTTTGTGGAGTTTCTCATTTATGGATGGATTTTTGCAACGCTTAACAAAGGACTTTCTCAGTTCCTTTTTGGTTGAAGGTCGTCGGTCCCCAAGAGGAGACAGACTAGCTTGCTCTAATGATTTGTATAGCTTCTCCATTTCATCATCTTCAGATGCTTTTGTTTCTTCTATTTAAAAAAAAAAAAAAACCAGCAATCACAATAAATCCAGTTAAAATCAAGGAAAGAACATTCAATACTGTGGTCCTAAAGCATGGACCTGTGGACATTTTAATCTCAGACTTCTAGTCTTCAGAACTATGAGACAATACATTTTTTATTATCTAATCAATTTGAAGTGTGGTTCTTTGTTGCTGCAAAGCCATGCTCTCTTTGAAGACACTAGGGAAGAAACTGGTCCAGACCTCTCCCCTAGTTTCTGATGGTTTCTTGGTTTATAGCTGCATAACTTCATTATTTACATGGTGTTTCTCCTGTGTGCATGTCTCTGTATCTCAGCTTCCCCCTTTTATTAGGATACTAGTATATGGGATGAGAGGCCTACCAAATGTTAGTTAAATCTGTAACAACTCCATCTCCTAGTAAGTTCACATTCGGAGATATTTGAGTTTAGGACTTCAACATACAAGGGCCATAATTCAACCCATAGCAGTCCACCCTCTGGCCCCCCACATTCACATGCTTCTTGTGTACAAAATATGTTCACTCCATGCCAACATCTCCAAAAGTCTTAATGCACTCCAACATCAACCGTAAGACCACAATCTTATCCAAATACTATGTATATTTTGCACTGTGAGCCCGAGGTGTGCCTCAGGGGATGATTATCCTGGGGCAAAACCTGTGAAACTAGACAAACATCTTTTCTAAACTATAATGGTGGGATAACAACCTAGCAAATGCATACACACCCTTAAGTTTGAGAATCACTGCTTTGGGTGACTTTTTAATGCTCTTCTCAGAACTGCCCTTTGAGAGAAGAAATTTGCCTGTGTTCTGTGGTTTTGATCAGATAGCAATCATCACCATCTGGCCACACAATGAAGTGACTCCCCCACAGGAACAAGTAGGGGACCACTTGTACTGGACTAAACCAATGGCAGTTCCACCATACTGGCTAAGTCATTGATTCAGAAAAAGGTGTGTGTTTTAGGTCAGGCTAAGCAGGTCCAGGAAAACCCAGTTTCAAGATTTTGGTTTGGGGTATTAAGAAAGCAATCTCTCTCTCTCTCTCTTTTTTTTCTTAAACCGAATACTGCGAAGATATAAGCTGGAAGCTTCCAGGAATCATCCTAAGAATGATAATAGAGCTAATCCATCCTGAGACACACATCTTCATGGGATGATGGAAACCTCTCAGCCTACAGGGGTCCAATCTGTTATCATTGTTAATTACTCTGGGTGTGGTGTTCAATCATACACCCCTGAGAGGGCGTCAAATATTGTAGAGGTTAACCAAAGAAAATCTCAACCTCCTGATGTTGCTCTAATTTCTCACTGAGAACTTCAGTCCTTTATTTCTTCTTTCGCTGAAATAATCTTGGAAAAAAATACTCAAGGAGATTTCTTTTACCATGACATACTCCCGAATGTTTATGTTTCACTTCCTATCCTTTCCTGTCCTGAGAGCAAACTTGAGAAAGGACCCTATAAAAAGTATGGCATTATAAGGACCTAGAAAAAAAGAAAACTTCTCCAAAAGCATACCAAAACTATCTAGGAGCATCAAAATCAAGCAAACGTTACTTACTTTATAATTTACTCTTCTAAAATTATAGATCTTTAAGCAAGAATTAGTTTTCCTCTACAGACCCCAAGAAGTGATCCAGAGTTCCTACAACTCTTTCATAAAATGGAAAGAAAACATGTTGGATTAATGTTATAACTGACTTAAGTATTGGTCAGCACAACCCTTTTTTCCTCTACAAAACAGTCTGAAAAAAGAGAAAAATATTCAAAACTATATCTGAAGACAATTCTACTTTTTTGGCTCAAATTGTGTGCAGATATCAAAAGCAAGCTTAATCAATAAGCATAAGATACAAGGGTACAAGTGAATCTTTCTAAAAGCAGAGTATGAATGTCTTAACTTAATGACTAAGAGAATGACATGAAGATTATGTTAACCAGTTTGATGAGAGTATTTCAAAATGTATATGAAAACAGCACACTGTACCCCATGATTGCATTAATGTACATAGTTATGCTATAAGAAATAAAAAATAATAAAAAAATAAGCATAAGAAAAAATGTTTAACATCATTACTCATTAGGGAAATACAAGCCAAAATCATAAAGAGATACCACTTAACTCCCACCAGGTGGCTAAAATTAAAAAGACAGACAGTAGTAAGTGTGGGTGAGGATGTGGGAAAACTGGAGTCCTCGTACATTGTTGGCGGGAACGTAAAATGAGCCACCACTTTAGGAAATAGTTTGTTAGTTCCTTAAAATGCTAAACATAGAGTTACCATGTAACCCAGCAATTCCACTCCTAGATATACACCCAAGAGAACTGAAAACATATGTTCATACAGGAGATGGATCAAGATGGCCAACTAGACACAGGAAGTATGGGCCTCCTCCACAGAGCAGAACCAGAATAGTAGGCAGACTCTCCATTTTGAACAGCTTGTCTAGAAGAAAACTCTAGGATTCACCAACGAAGCAAAGGGAAGCACTAAAAGTGGTTAAAGAGAGGGTTCAGGGCAACTTTCATGACTGGGGACTGGCTAAGAGCTAGGAGAAGCTCTCGAACATAGCAAAATAGTACAAGAGAAGCCCCTGGGCCACATACTCCAAATCAAGCTTTTATAATCTCAGTTACAAGAGAACCCCGTCCCCAACCCATGCAGGTCTTGGCCTCACATAGGGAAGAGCCTAGAGATTGCACAGAGATATTACTCCAGAAAGAGAACCCACATAGAATCCCACAGGCATTCAAGCCTAGAGCACCTAAATCTAAGGTGTTGATCTGAGAACCTAAATACAAGAGAAATGTGGCTATGTCTTCAGTTGCTGTGCAGTTCCATGGGTGGATAGAGGATCAAGGAGAGAGGAGCTCAAGTTTTCCCATACACCCTTGAGAAGGTCCCCTCCACCCTGCTGCAGGCTCTGTCCAGACTGAGATGTGAGAAGATGGCATTTGCCACACCTCTTGCAGTGGACAAGAATCTGTGGAGCCTCTGAGATTCCATGCCCATAGTGTCATTTTGAGAGTTAGCACTGAGCTGCACCTTCCCCATGAGTCACGTTCAGGCTGATGTGGCTATAGCACCTGCCTAGCTGAGGAGGGACTGGGGAGCCCAAGTTCTCCTACATATACATAGGACAATTCCCACTGCCCTTCCATGAGTTGCTATTAGAATGAGTAGTGAGTGGATCATACTCCCCAGTTTCTTACCTTCTGAGAGGGAAGATAAATCAAAAAGTTTAGAAAAATTGCTTGAGAAAATAATCAATGAATATTTCCCAGGATTAACAAGAGACTTAGACATTCAGGTATAGGAGACTCAACAAACCCTTCAACAATTAACCATATGACAAAAACAAAGACTCACAGGTCAATATTAACCTTAAACATAAATGGATTAAATTCTCCATTTAAGTTATCTATTGACAGGATGGATATAAAAAACATGACACAATTATACACTCCTTACTAGAATCACACCTTACCCATAACAATACATATAAGCCAAAAGGAATAGAAAAAGATAATCCACACAAACAAAAACCAAAAGTGGTGCAGAAGAGTTATGTTTATATCAGATAAAAGACACTTTAATCAAAAACAGTAGAAAAAAAGACAAAGAAGGTCATAATATAATGATAAAGGGGTCAAGTCAGCAGAAGGATATAACAATCCTAAATATATATGTACCAAATATCAGAACACCCATATTCACAAAACAAATATTACAAGAACTAAGGAAGAAGATATGCAACAAAACAATAATAGTGGGGGACTTAATACTCCACTCACAGCACTAGACTGATCATCAAGACAAAGTTAACAAAGAAATATTGGACTTAACTTGCACTTCAGAACAAATGAACTTAACAGACAGTTATGGAACATTTTACCCAGTAACTACAAAAAATACATTCATTTCATCAGCAACTGGTCTATCTTTAAGATAGACCATATGTTAGTCCATTACATGAGTCTTTAAAAATTTTAAAAGATCAAAATCCTATCAAGAATTTCCTTAGACCACAGTGGAATAAAGTTAGAAATCAATACAAAGAATAACTTCAGAAACTGTACAGATACATAGAAATTAAACAACACATTCTTCAAAAATTATCAGGTCGACAATAGGAAGGAAGGAAGGGAGAAGGGAAGGAAGGAGGAAGGGAGGGAAGAGAGAGAGAGAAAGAAAGAAATTCAAAAATGTTTAGAAACAAATGAAAATACAACATACTAAATCCTGTGCAATACAGCCAAAACAGTGCCAAAAGGAAAGTTTTTGGCTTAAAATGCCTATATCCAAAAAGTAAAAAGATAATAAATTAACATTATACCTCAAGGAAGCAGAAAAAAAAAGAATAAATCAAACTCAAAGTTAGCAGAAGAAAAGAAATAACAAAGATCAAAGGAGACCTAAATGAAATAGAGTCCAAAAATACAACATAAAGAATCATCCAAACAGAAAGTTGGTTCTCTAAAAAGATAAACAAAATTGTTAAACCATTAGGTAGACTAACCAAGGAAGGAAGAAAAAAGGTCCACATAAACAGAAATGAAAAAGGAGATATTACAACTGACACCACAGAAATACAAAATATCACCAGAGACTATTACGAACAACCATAATACACTCACAAACTATATAAAATTAGAGGAAATGGATGAATTCCTGAAAGCTTACAAACTCCCAAGATTGAACCAGGAAGAAATACAACTCCTGAATAGATCAATAATAAGTAGTAAGATGGAATCATTAAAAAGAAATCCCCCCTAAAAAATGTTCAGGACCATATTGATTCACACCTGAATTCCACCAGATTCAAAGGAGAATTGTTACAAATCTCAATAAAACTGTTTCAAAAAACTAAGAAAAGGGCTGGGCACATGTAACTCAGTGGTTAGCACATTGGCCATATGCTCCAGGGCTGGTGGGTTCAAAACCAGCCTGGGCCTGGTAAACAAAAAAAAAAGAAAG